TTATTATTATTATTAAATATTATTAGACACTGATGGAAAGGGGCTACGTTTTGTCTGTTCCCCCCTTTTTTTGGTAAACTTTTTTGTTCTCATGGAGAATTGACCAACTGTTCAGTCGGTCTCAGCCGCAGTCAGGCATCAACAGTTGTCTCGATTATTTACTAGAAATATTCAACTAAATTCAAGCGAAGCTCTTGGACTTTTGCCCTCCGTGTGGAGGAATCAAGTTTTGTGCGTGAACGGTGCACTTTTATATTAGCTGACCATAAAAATAAAAAATAAAAAAAGTTAAAAAGATATGACGATGATAGATAACTCGTGAGTATATTTAACAATATTTTTGTTACCATTTGCATCTTTGCATTAAACTGTTTTGTTGTGTTGTCACTCAGAAGCATATCGACACGGACGTAGGGGGAGGTTGAAATGAGCAGCCAAGGGGGGGTGAGGGGGTTGTGTGATCGGACTGACCAGAGTCACTCGGAGGCAGCAGGTTGGGCAGCAGAGGAAGCGTCAGGGAGTGTGTTATATGTTGAAAATGTACAGACCGAAAAAAGTGTCAGCAATGGCAATTTGCTTTCCTTTTGGCTGTGGTTGAGCTCCTGTTGTAATGGTTTTTATTTAATATTTATGTGACCTTCCAATGAGAAAAAAAAACATTTTTTAGGGTGTTATTGCACTTTTTAGGTTCATTTTTACCATCTGAAAACAAACTAAAACACACAAAAAAAGGATAAGAAAGAATGATATATATATAAATATATCATTTTAACAGGGAATTTGCTTTAAAGATGTTTTAGATCACTTTTGCTTTTCATGCACAAATAGATGTTAGTGTGACAACAAACTGTTGTTCTGTGGTTTATTTAAAGACTGGTTTTTATTTCTGCTTCTGTGATTAGACGGTTTGAAATAATACAAGAAAAAAAAGGAATTGTGTGACGCCAGGAAAAGGGCATAAAACACTAACATGAACTGTGAGATTTAAATTATTTCATAAGAAGTTCACAACGTTGTTCACTTACTGTAATACTAAATTATAAAAAGAAAATTGTCAAAACATGCTCTGTTTTTTATTGAGTGAACATGTACGACTGAGGAGTGGACACACTGAATTATCTCCTGAGCTTGGCATTGGAAATAAATGATCGTAATATAGGGAAATAACGATGTGTGCCGTTGATTTTCCTCTAGATATTGTTTTGAGAATGAATTTAAAAAAAGGGTTGTACAGTATTTTCCTCTGTAAAAAAATAACTATATATGAACAAAATGCTCTTTGATGAACAGGTTCATTTAAGAAGAAAATCATAAAAAAAGGAAAAATGAATAATAAAAAAAAGTTAAAGATTCAAATAGTCTCATTATATTCTGCTTGTGTGCTGTTATTTTCCCTCCACACTTGGTTTTGTTCATCCTGCAGTAACAGATTTCATTTTGGAGATTTTTTTTACCCCTCTGTCAGCTGCTCAAACTAAAATACACTGATTTGAATTCATTCCCTGATGGTCCATGATTATTTTCTTGTTTAGTTTGACTCATTGTCATTATCTGTGTGTTTTTTCTTTCTTTCTTTCTTTCTTTCTTGGCTTCTAAGTGAAAATCTTGATTTGCCTCTTTTTTGCCGTGAGCTTTATTCGCTCACGGACTGAACTGTCTCCTGGGACTCCGTTGCAAAGCAGCAGCATTACTGTGTTTGTTTTCTGTTCTCATCATTTGCTAAAATAACTGTAGGGGCTGGGAGACGTCAAGCACTTGAATTCAGTGTGTGTGTGTGTTTGTGTGTGTGTGTGAGAGAGTGTGTGTGTCTACAAGGGTGTAAAATAGCCGGATCTGTACAATGTTGAAAATAAAGAAACTATGATTATTTTGACAGTGAGCTTGTAGTGCTTGACAGTGATCCAGCCTGAGGACACTACAGTGTGTGTGTGTGTGTGTGTGTGAATGGAGGAAGGAACGTGCTGCTGGATGACAGGAGGGCAGAAGGTCACGGCGACGCTCTCTGTCGGCGTGTCTCCACCTGAAAGAGACTAACTACAGGCCTGTGGTTCTGTCTCAGCTGCTCAGAGCTCCACTTCAGACCTCAAGACCAACATTTAGCTGCTTTCAGCTCCGACTGAGAGGCTTTTTTAAACACCAAAACCTTCCACAAACCGAGAACATTTAGAGGCCTGATACTGTAAACAGAGATCTCTTTGTCTTGCTCGGTGTTAGGAGGGTACGTTATTGTTCTTATTTATTGTATTAGATTTTTTTGTTTTTGCCTCGGGGCATGTTATGAGTCCTCCTCCCCCTCCTTCATGTCACCCAGAGGCCGGTGTGCTGATTGTGTCTGTCCCTTCGTCTACAGCTGTTACTGTCCTTCCTTCTTCTCCTCTTTGTAATGTTTATATTAATAAAAAGAAAGAAAGAAAAAAAAAAGAGGGTAAAGGCATCACCATCTGTCAGCCAGCTGGTATTCTGTATATAATTTACTAGAGGGGGGAAAAGAAAAAGGAATAAAGACGAAAATTATATTACTTAAAAACCAGACGGAAGTGACCTCCAAAACCTGGGCTGCTACCGAAACAACAAATCATTTTATTGCTTTAATGAACAGAGTAAAAAAGGAGGATATAAAATAGGAACAGGGAAATAAATAAAGATCTAGTTCAGCTGTTGCAAAAACGAAAGATGCCGGCTTACTGAAAAGAAGCAGATGAGCAGATTTTGTGAAATAGATGGCACTTTTTAAACTAAAAGTCATTTAGTATTAGCTGAAATTTGGTTTGATTTATTAGATATTGCATATAAAAATACAAACTGAAGCTTTTTTTCTTTCTTTACAAACATCTACGTTACATTTTAGTCCAACTTACTGTTTATAATTGCACTATTCGTGACAGTAGTTTTTATTTCTACGTGTCTGATGCAAAGATTAGGCGTTCCACTCACTGAAAACAAAACACGCAGAGCCACTTTCAACTTGTTTTAAGCCTCGGTGTATTTTTTTAAATCAAGAAAACACCTACTTTTATAGTAACTTCTGCTTTTTTTCCACACACACGCACACCCACCTAAAATAAGAACTTTCAGACTGCACATACTCTGAGCACCAACTGCGCGTGGAGGCCGACGCTCGCGCACAGTTGGTTGATGTGCCAGGAACAGGCTGTGTGAGGAGGTAGAGAGAGAGGCAACAGTTGAGGCTGGGAACATGCACGACAGGTGTGTACTGCATATGTGGTCACATGATGCCTATAAGGCAGATTAGGATCCAAACAGATGAAGCGCTGCTTAATGGCAGCTTTTATTAAGTTCACAAAGCGTGGAGGCGGGGTGGGGGCTGCGGGGGAGACAGAGGAAAAGCAGGTGGCTGGGCCTGTGCACTCCTAGATGAAGACAGATATTGTTCGGCACAGCCTGAAGAGGGTCGCCGCTGTGGAAGGATTTATGGAGATTTGCCTGCTGTGGACCCCACCGCCTGCCTGTTCCTGAGTCCTGCAATAACAGACCAAGAGCTGGAACCGCTCTGAGAGGAAAAGAGCGGGCTCATATGAAATCAGAAGAAAACAGCAGTCATGCTTATGTTCAAGTGGAAAAGAGTAAGAGCATGTACACAAATAACAACAACAACAAAAAAAAAACTACTCATATGCTAAATTTTACTAAATCCACTTTTTATTTTGTAAAACGTTACAAACAGTTCATGTATGTAGCTCTTGGAATGACGTGAGCTGGAACACAGTTTATTTCTAACGTGTCTGAGCAGGGCCAAGACGGTATCTTTTAAAAATGATTTCTAATTTAAAACTTTCACAGCAATCTAAATGAATGTTACTTTATAGCCAACATTTTTGCAACAGTCAGTGTCCCCTGCAGAGTGAAATGGGGAATTGGAAAAACCTTTTGCGCGTTAAAGTGAGCTAACATTGCTTAAAAAAAGACTAAAACCAAAATTACAGACAGCCAAATAAGACAACTATGACAAGAAAATAACGATGAACAAGAGAATATCTGAGATATAGCATAAGTACTGGGGAGGGTGATTAGTGATTGAGAGCAGCTGAGAAGATGACAATGAACAACAGGTGTGTGTGTGTGTGGGGGGGTGGGGGGGTGTATAATGGCCATGAAAATTCAAAACTCAGCCAGGCTTAACAAACAAAAACACAAGAATCTAAGGAATAAAATCAGCAAAAACAAGCTAATTTATGAACACCTAATAAAAAAAGATGATTAAGACCTTACACGTTATTTCCCACAGCTTCACGAAACTCAGCTGTGGGTGGGGTGGGGTGGTAGTTTGCTTGCTCGCTTTATACATTTATGTGAGTTTACTTTGGTTTTGTCCATCAGACCCAAGGTGTGAATGTTAGGTTAACTTTAGAATTGTGTCTTTGTGTTAGCCTTGTGATGAACTCGTGACCTGTCCAGGATGTACCTCACGTTTTGCCTTCTTGAAAAGCACAAAGTGAATATATGTTGGAAAGGCCTCAAATGTCTCCGAGTAAATTATCAGCCTTCCTACTACTCACTTACCAAATTCCCACTTGTGCAACTGGGAATAAAACTACATTCTAATAAACAATTGCCGTCTTGTGACAGCATATTGTGGACAGTGCGGTGTCAGTGGAGCCCTCTAAAGCATTTCAAATAAGAAATACTCTGAGAATATGAGAAGTGTTTTCTAAGACCTCAACATCTGACAGATGAGCTGGTCTCAGCTGCACTCGTTCATGTTTAAAACATCCATTGTGTTAATGATACTTTATATACACCAAAAAAAAAATAAGTTTTTGAACCCTGCATAATAACGGAAACGTTTTGCATACAATGCACGGCAAATCTTATTTTCATTGTAAGAGGGGTCTCACACTGTATATAACATCTGCACCACTCATTTTACTGCTGCACTGGCCCATTTACTCTTCACTTTTTTGAATGAGATGGGGCCCTCATCTCTTTCAGCACTCTGCCCCGGTTAGACCTCTCTGTAAATCCCGTGCCCTTTGCAATAGATGTCCATTGATCTATTTTTGCATGCGTATGAGCTTATTTTGGAAAGACCACAGTCACTTTGCAGAAAAAAAAGGGACTGTGAGGAAAAATAAGCTTCACCATTGGTAGCAGCTGTTGCTGCTGAGACACCTCAGAGGAAATGGGGAATTGGACACACACTCATCCAATTTACCATTAACAAGACCTTATTGGATGCAGGCCCTTAGAAACATGTGGCTTTGCCTTATGTGGCTCTGTTTATATGTGCCACTTTCCTCCTTGAATATGTGTGCACGACTGGGGTCTGCGATATTACTGGCATCTGTGACTTGGGATCAAAGTGTGAAACATCTTTCATTCACCTTCAGTACAGACAAAAACCCAAACACGGCCAAACGAGAACCCTGCAGAACGTTGCGTTGAAGAGTACGAACAAAATCAGAATTTCCATGTCTGTGGAAGGACTACTATTAAAGCCATCCACAGGAAACTTTGACTTATACAATGAGATCGTTTTAAACATCAAACACTGAAGCTGATCCACAAAGATCTGCAAAACAAGCTTTCCATTAGTTTTATATTTTCCACAATTTTTACACAACCACATCAAGAGATCTAGGGTTTTTAATGTCCTTTCAGGTCACGAACCACAAGTCAGACAAAGCTTGACCTCATCTTCGTCCAAGATTTATTCTGGTAATAAATATATCATCTTGAACATCCTACCCTTTACAAAACATACACACATATCTGCTTCTCTATGAATACAGCAGATTTGAATCAAACACTGTTCCTCCAGGGCAACATCTTTTTTTCTGGTCTTGTAACATTTTTCAACACTACCTTTTCCCATAAACACGTCACATTCTTCTGAGGGTGGCATATCTAAAGATCTTAACCCTTTAACACATTTACAGTCAGGGCACGCAGACAGCAACAACAAAAAAATCTTTCTCACAGTTTTTGCTGGAACATTTATTAAAAACAAGGACTGGTATGTTTTTTTTTACTTCAAAAACCAGAAAAACTGGTTGAAAACCTAGCCAGTAATCATACAGAGCTGAACGAACCATCTGGAAAGTGCTGATCTGCGTGTGACGTCGATGACTCAGGAAACTTTTACTGTTATTTTTTTTAGAAGTTTTATTCCTTTGTGTTTTGCATATACACAATGATGTCAAGGTTTGTTGGAGGACAAAGGCTCAGCGTAGTGCTTAAAGCAACTTTTCCAGATCTTGATTTCTGTAGAAATCTTGTAAACAGTGTCACCTGGAGTGAATATTTGTTTGACTGACAGCAATGGCAAATGGAAAGCTCCAACCTACAAATAATAATAA